TTTTTTCTTTTCTTTCCAATTGTGTGTCTCCCAGCAGCTCCAGTTAAGACGGTGACTCCCAAAGCTACTGCTAAGAAGGACTCATCCAGTTCTGACAGCTCTGGTACTGCCCTCTCTGTAGATTATCACCACAAATAGTAGTTTTTGGAGACTTTTGTTTTTCTGTTGCAGAAAGTGCTAATAAACTGCTTTCTTTTTCTCAGATTCAAGTTCAGAGGATAAAGCAAAGAAACCAGCTGCTAAAACTGCTCCAGCTAAAGCAGCCCCAGCTAAGAAAGCACCTAAAAAAGTCGCTCCTGCTCAGAAAAAGGACTCTTCAAGTTCCGATTCTTCAAGCTCAGAGGATGAAGCAGCAAAGCCTGCTGTCAAATCTACACCTGCAAAAGCTGCATCTGCTAAATCTACACCTGCAAAAGTCACCCCGGCTGCAGACAAGGCTTCATCTTCTAGCTCTGAAGACTCGGACGATGAGGAGGAGGCCAAGAAACCAGCAGCTAAAGTTGTCCCAGTTAAACCTGCGCCAGCCAAGAAAATGCCAGCTAAAGTCAAGCCCGCTGCAAAAGAATCGTCATCTAGCTCTGAGTCTGAGGAAGACCAACCCGCCATAATCTACACCTGCAAAAGCTGCATCTGCTAAATCTACACCTGCAAAAGCTGCATCTGCTAAATCTACACCTGCAAAAGCTGCATCTGCTAAATCTACACCTGCAAAAGCTGCATCTGCTAAATCTACACCTGCAAAAGCTGCATCTGCTAAATCTACACCTGCAAAAGCTGCATCTGCTAAATCTACACCTGCAAAAGCTGCATCTGCTAAATCTACACCTGCAAAAGCTGCATCTGCTAAATCTACACCTGCAAAAGCTGCATCTGCTAAATCTACACCTGCAAAAGCTGCATCTGCTAAATCTACACCTGCAAAAGCTGCATCTGCTAAATCTACACCTGCAAAAGCTGCATCTGCTAAATCTACACCTGCAAAAGCTGCATCTGCTAAATCTACACCTGCAAAAGCTGCATCTGCTAAATCTAAAGCTGCATCTGCTAAATCTACACCTGCAAAAGTCACCCCGGCTGCAGACAAGGCTTCATCTTCTAGCTCTGAAGACTCGGACGATGAGGAGGAGGCCAAGAAACCAGCAGCTAAAGCTGTCCCAGTTAAACCTGCGCCAGCCAAGAAAATGCCAGCTAAAGTCAAACCCGCTGCAAAAGAATCGTCATCATCTAGCTCTGAGTCTGAGGAAGACAAACCCGCCACAAAACCAACCCCAGCCAAGGCTGCTCCTGCTAAAGCTGCTCCTCCAAAGACGACCCCTGCTAAGAAAGATGATTCCTCAAGTTCAGGTCAGTTGTCATCACGTCCATAAAGATACAAACATTTGCATTTAATCTTACTTGCCTTCGTGTCATTCACATGTATGATTGTCGAAAATGGAACACAAAAGGAGATGTTTTGAAGAATGTTAATGATGCTCTTTTTCCATACAAAGAAAATGACAAGGCTATACCAATATTTCTGAAGCCTTAAGCTTTCTTTTTTTGGTCATTTACAATTAGAGATGTTTAGAAAAAATCAAGTCTCACAGGTCTGAAATGGTGTGGCAGTGAATGAAAAGATCTAGAGAAATAGTGTTACCATTTGAGTGCTGTATTCTTATTGTAAAATAATGGAACATTTAGGTCATGAATATTGTCTCAAAAGTCATGGAAAAGTCATGGAAATTTATTGGTAAAAATGTGTACGAACCCTGTGTTTATCAAGATTGTATTAGCTTATAGATCTGTTTTATCTCGCACAGATTCAGACAGCTCTGAAGATGAGGCACCAGCTAAACCAGCAGCTAAGGCCAAGCCTTTGAGCACTCCTAAACCTGCAGCCAAGCCCGCCGAATCCAGCTCTGACTCGGACAGCTCTTCAGATGAAGAACCTCAAAAGAAAGCCGTCACCACACCGGTATCCAAACCTGGTACCCCAGCTAAACCTGCAGTTGCAGCTAAACCAGCTGATAGCAGTTCTGACTCTGAAACCGACAGCTCTGACTCTGAACATGAGACTCCGGCTGCTAAGAAAGCTAAACCAGCAGCAGCTACTGCTACTAAGAGCCCTGCTTCTGCCTCCAAACCACCTGCTCCAGCCAGTAAGAATGCAGCTGAGTCCAGCAGCAGTGATTCGGACAGTTCCAGTGAAGACGAGAAGAAAGTAAAGACTACTGTGACACCCAAAGCAGCAGCAGCTAAGCCGGCCGTGACTCCAGTTAGCGCGAAGAAAGCGGAGAGCAGTAGCTCAGACTCTGAGACCGAGGCTAAGAAGACTCCCGCCAAGCCTGCAGTCACCAACAGAAAGGCTGCTACAACAAAAACGCCCACCTCAGCAGCGAAGACGCCAGCTAAAAAGACAGCAGAGTCTTCATCCTCGAGTGACAGCAGTTCTGATGAAGAGGAGTCTCCTAAAACACCAGCTGTGAAGACACCACCTGCTACAAAAGCACAGGCTGCTAAGGCCAAAGCAGACAGCAGCTCGTCTGAGGACTCTTCATCTGAAGAAGAGGAGACGACGGCGACACCCAAGACTCCTGTCACAACAAACGGTATTCACAGTACTCAATATGTCTGATAGCAAGGTGTTTTGCGTGTTACTGGTTCCCAGGCCAGTTCTTATTACTTTCAACATATTATGTAAACACTCAATCAAACCTGTCAGATTTTGCCTGTGACTCCCCAAAAAAC